ACAGGCACGAAAAGTCAAATAAGCACTAATACAATTGTGTTGGGGGATCTCAATACCCAACTGTCAGAAAAACAGATCAACTAGATAAAAACTCAACAATGAAACATTAGAACTAAGCCAAACTTTTTAAAAAATGGGCTTAGTAGATGTCTACAGAGTGCTTCATCACACAGTGTCAGAATATACATTCTTCTCAGCTGTACATGGCACATTCTCCAAAACAGACCACATACTAGCTCACAGAACATGATTAAATAAACGCAAAGGAACTGAAATTATCCCATGCATATTATCAGACCACAGTGCAATGAAACTGGAAATCAATGGCAAAAGGAACCACAAGACCTTCATAAACGCATGGATAATAAATAGCACCCTCCTGAACAACCAATAGGTCACAGATGAAATTAAATAAGAAATTAGACAGGTCTATAATTAAATGATAATGGCAATACAACATACTGGAACTTATGGGACACAATGAAAGCAGTCCTAAGAGAGAAATTTCTAGCAGTGAATATCTGTATCAGGAAAATACAGCAAGCATAGATAACCAACTTAATGCTGAACCTGGAACTTCTAGAAAAAGAGCAGGCTAGTCAAAAGCTCATATGAGGGAGGAAATTATGAAGATCAGAGCAGAAATTAATGCAATGGAGACTAAGAAAATAATACAAAGAATCAATGAAGTGAAGAGCTGGTTCTTTGGAAGATTAAAATCAACAAACCCTTATCTTACTTTATCAAAAAAAGGGAAAGACTTAAATCCATGCAATTAGGAATGAAAAAGGTGAAATCACAATGGACCCTACAGAAATGTGTAAGATTATCTCTACCTACTTTGAGAACTTATATTCTAATATGATGGAAAATGCAGAAGAAATAGACAGATTCCTAGATACATATGAATTACCAAAACTGAATCAAGAAGATATAAAAATCCTAACTAAACCAATAATGGTTCATTTAAATCAATGAAATCAAAGATGTAATTAAAAACCTACAACAAAGAAAAGCCCAGGTCCTGGTAGATTCACTGCTGAATTAAACAAGAAATTTACAGAAGGCCTAATAACACTTCTTCTCAAACTCTTTAATGAAATTAAATTGAAAGGAAAGCAATACTCCAAAATTCGTTCCTAGAAGCATTACCCTGATACCAAAACTGGAGAAGGACCCAACTAAGAAAGAGAACTATAGGCCAATCTCCCTAATGAACACAGAGGCAAAAATCCTTAATAAGATATGGCAAACAGAATGTAGCCAACATCCAGAAGATTATACACCATGACCAAGTTGGATTCATCCCAGGGATGCAGGGTTGGTTCAATATACATAAAGCAATAAATGTAATATATCATATTAACAGAACGAAGGACAAAAATCTTATGATCATCTCAGCAGATGCAGAAAAAGCACCCATTTGTGATAAAAACCCTACAGAAAAATAGAAATATAAATATAAGTAGGAACAGATGGTCTTTCTCTCAATCTGATAAAAGCCATCCATGACAAACCAACAGCCAACACCATATTAAATGGACAAAAACTGAAAGGCTTCACTCTAAAATCAGGAACAAGACAAGATGTCCAGTTTCCACTCTTACTCAACATAGTCCTGGAGACTTTAGCCAGAGCAATTAGACAAGAGAAAGCAATAAAAGGAATAATGATAGGAAAGGAAGAAGTTAAATTATCATTATTTGCAGATGACATGATACACGGAAGACCCCAAAAATTCCACTAAAAAACTGCTAGATTTAATAAACAAATTCAGTAGTGTAGCTGGATACAAAGTCAACACTCAAAATGCAACAGCCTTTCCATACCTGAATAACAAACTCACTGAGAGGGAGATGAGGAAAACAACACCTTTCACCATAGTATCCAAACAAATGAAATAACTAGGAATCAATCTAATTAAGGATGTAAAAGATCTCTACACTGAAATCTACAGTACTCTGAAAAAGAAGATTGAAGCAGGTATCAGAAAATGGAAAGATATCCCTTGTTCCTGGGTAGGAAGAACCAATATAGCAAAAACGGCCATACTTCTAAAACTGTTATACAGATTTAACAATCAAAATTCCAACAGCATATCTCACAGAATTAGAGAAAACAATCCCAAAATTCATTTGGAACCAGAAGAGAACTAGAATAACAAAAGCAATTCTAGACAGTAAAGGCAAGATAGGGGGCATCACAATCCTTGGCTTGAAATTATACTATAAAGCTATGGTGATAAAAACAGTGTGGAACTGGCAAAAAACAGACTTGAAAATCAGTGGAACAGACTAGAAGATGCAGAAACAACTCCAGACATGCTCAACCACCTTATTTTTGTCAAAGGTGCCCAACATATTCTGGAAGACAGACAACCTTTTTAATAAACGGTGCTGGAAAAACTGGCTCTGCACATGCCAAAGATTAAAACTGGAGAATATCTTTCACCATACACTAAATTCAAAATGGATCAAACATTTTGAATAAATAAATTTTAAATAAAATATTAAAACAGAAACATTAAATCCGCTGGAACATAGAAGAGGTAAAACTCTTAAAGACATTGGTGTAGGCAAAGACTACGAATAAAACCCTGATTAAAAAAAAAAACCCTGGTCATACAGGAACTATCATAAAGAATCAACCAGAATCTCATCTTATAAAAAAGCTTTTGCACAGCAAGAAAAACCACAGAGTGGAGACAACCCACAACATGGAAAAAAAAAGTTTGCCAGCTGTTCCTCAGACAAAGGATTACTACTGAGAATGTATGAAGAACTCAAAACAATCAGACCTCCCAAATTTGATAGCCAAAGATAGGATGAGACTCTAAGCCTTCTGTCTTCTATTATACCCTGATGCATTTCAATGTAAAGCAAATCTTCAGAAGAAAAATTATATCCACTTAAAATGTTATATCAGATTATACATCTGTAAGTGTGGATTTCAATATTTGGGGATGAAAATCTTAATAAGTTATGTTAATTTTATAATATACATATTAAGCTCAGAAACACACATCCTGAAAAATGAGGTATGTCTATCAGTTTCTCAATACAAATTATTAAGTATCCTCCACAGATATTTGTAGTATATTTAAAACTAAAAGTAAGCATAGGCCCTTTTATTCTGTATATATCCTTGTTTGTTTTTAGAATTTGTTTCTTGCCTTAATGTCTCAAAGAAATAAGATACAACTAATAGGTTATTTGTCAGCTGCTGTGTTGTATACTTCTGTATTAATTAGCCTCTTAATCACTATAAAATACCTCAAGCTAGTACTACTATAATGTTTAGTAGTAAGGTTAGTAAACAGAAGCTCAGTATGGTTAAGTAAACTACTCAAAGAAACAAGCTAGTAAGTGCTAAGGCTGAATTCCAACCCGGGTCAATCTGACTCTAAAATCTGTATTTTTAACAGTAGGGCTCAATGCAACATCTCAACAACTTCCAAGTGTAGTGAGATGCTAAGTTAGGCACACTGAGAGTAAATGAGTGAGAGCATTCTGAAAAGAACAGACACGGTCTCAACTGAAGAATTAAGAGGATGGTATAAAATTACCAAGGATTCTAGGAAACTAATACTGTAGTAAAAAATTGAAGAAATAAAGAGTAAACTCTGAAATCTCCTATTTTAAAAAAAGTTCATATTACTAAACCCTAGATATTTGGAAAGATGTTACAATGTTAAAGTAACACATAAGCTGCTCATTCAAATATATTTTATTTGTAAATTTAATTGCTTGTAGGCAATATGGAGCAAGTGCCTGTTTAGATTTATCTATTCAATTCTTGGTGGCTTATACAGACTTAAACTTCAATGATTTTCATAAATGGTAAAATTATATAGCAGCAATATTAATTACAATTCAGACATAACAATCCTGAAGTCTCAATGTCATATTGGCAATTTCTCCTAGAATTCTATTTTGTATAGATGTTCCTACTGGTTTTCAATTTTTAGTAGAGGGAAGGAAGCTAAAATGTGAGTAATCACATTTGTATCTCATTTTTTCTCCCAATGTGGTTTATTTTGAAACTGTATTTACACAACAAACATACTATGTTTACCTAGATTTTATGATGCTGATCAATTTCAGCAAAGTCTGTGAACACAGTTATTTATACTTCAAGTGAGACTAACATATTTAACACCAAATATCATTAATGTTACAGTTAATATTGCCATTAATTAGACTTTGGATAATTCTGTTGGGAAGGCTATTAATGTCAACAGAACACTCCTTGGAACTAGTAAGGCTCTGAAAATGAAAATGGATCAGCTTCTTTGACATCTGGCTATTATTTATTAACTGTAACATTTAATTTTTAAAAGATGATTTTAATTTAAGTAGTTTTATTTCCAGAAAGTTAAGAAGATAGCACAAAGAGTTATCATATACTCTAGACCAGTAATGCTGCACCTCTTAGAGCTTCCAATAATAACAAACAGCCTGCTATGGCACGCATGCCATAAATATCCCTGAAAGCTCTAAAAAGTTGGCCATCACTGCAACACATCACCAATTATTTTTAATGAATAAATATGAAGTATGTTATCTAACTAGGATGAATATTTCCCAAGATAAATACATACCAAGAAACAAGGTGTTATATAAAATGGTAAGTCCAGTACGAGATCAAGAGTATAATGATTTTCATTCTCTTTAGAAATAATACAAGTTTTCAAAAGCAAAAATATTTTAAAAAGTGTTTTAGAGATTTACAGTACAAAAGGCATGGAAATAAATTTACAGAGGTTCACTATAATGAAGATAAATTTAGAATGTGCCTTATTTCATACAGTACCTAATAAAATGGCAATTGTGCGACCCAATATATATTAAATTCCAAATATTTCATTTCCCAAAAAAACCAACTGAAGCCCAAAGTAAATCACCAAACCAACAAAAAACAGTTAACAGTTTTAAAAGAATGTGAATAAAATATTAAAAGCAAATGAAATTTTTATAAAGAAAAAAGAAACTAATAAAAACCTGTGGTATGGTGGGTAGGATGACAGTATTCTCAGCAGGGACTGGCAGGACAGGGATCACAGGGACAGTGGGAGAGGAGGGAGGTACAGCTTCTGTTGGCTAAAAATCATCAATGACAAAAAATCAGGAGAAGTACCAAAATAAAAAGGAAACACAGAACAGAAAGTTGTACCATAAAGATAAATTATAGTTTTCAGATATAAATAAGAAATAGGTAAAATTTTAACATGTAACTTTAAGTAAGAAAACATTCTCTAGACTTTTTACAAATAATCACACCATCCATTATAAAGACAATAGTTAAAAGGATAGTCTACGTGTTAAAAGTCTAAATGAAAATAATAAATGACATTTATAATAATCCTTTTCTTGGGCATAAAACCTTTATTTTGTTGAGAAATTGCAAAATAATTTTCTAGCATTTGGAATGCATTTGACTGCTTTCAAAGAACTAAAAGTCATTTTATTTGCCCACCACACAATGTGTTTACAGATAAAAGATTCAAATGACTTCAAAACTGTATTTATATCACATAAAATGTTCTGTGTTATTAATCTTTACTATCAAGGACAGTAAGTATCTGCCTAAAACTGCCTATATGGTCATTAATTCAACCCATATTCATTTATTGTCTGTTATGCACCACACACATTTAGATAAAATGGGGGGAAAAAATTAAAGAATTCTAGTGATATAATTTAAACTAACAAGATTTGATGTTTAATAATTTTATTTGCCCTCACTTCATTGTATTTAAAATGATGTAACAAACACAGGAAAGTGTCTTATAACAAGAAGAAATTCCTCTAAGATGGATTAATTCATAAATATTGGCTGTACAAATAACATATATACGTAAGAAACACACTAAAATCAAGTAGATAAGAGGACACTGTGGATCAACAGAAACTAATACCAGGAAGAAAATAGTTCTAAATTTGAAACTATGCTTATCCTAATGGACAAATGCAAAATAAAATTATAATAATTAATTTGGTCTGTCAGTCAAGATCTATAAAAAATGTATGCAAGCTCCTCAACAATGGTTGAATACTGAGCGTGAATATTCACATATAAAAGAATGAAGCTTGATCTCTATTTCACATCATATATAAAAATTAACTAAATGGGACCAACATCCTAAATATAGGATCTAAAATTATGGAACTCTTAGAAGGAAAGCTAGGTGAAAATACTGAAGTTAAGATTAGTACTACAGATGGCGATAAGATCTCTTTCTCTTTAATGTTCTCATTCCTAAACAGTTCCCATTTTGGGATGATGAAATAACTCTGGAGATGTACAGTGATGATATTTGCATAACACTGTGGGTGTACTTAATGCCACTGAATTGTATACTTAAAAAGTGCCTAAAATATTGTAAATTTTGTTATGTATACTTTAACATCACTTCAATCACCATTTATATACTTTTTCTGTAGAAAACTTTCTGAATTCCATATTATGAGATTACAATTAATAAACAACACATTTGCTTGGAAATGATTTATAATAAACCATGAAAAAAGAGTGGTTTTGGAAGAATTATTGCTGGACCAAATAGATATGCACAAAATTAAATGAACCAATCATCATACATAATCATTCTACTTTAATCATACATAAGATCAATTTTAGAAGCTTTGCTGGTATAACGGAGAGAAATAAAATAAAGTCTAGGAAATAATATAGTAAAATACTATTACGCTGGTAGAAGCAACAACTTCTTGAACAGAAAATACATGTGGTTGAAACTCAAGTATGGTAAGGAAAACATCTGTGTGGAGGGAGGGGAGGGAAGACAGAAAGCTGGCACAGAGCGTTGGAGCTTGACCAGGGTAGGGAGGGTGTCCACCTAGAAAGAGCAGTGGCAGCAGCTTGATGTGTACTGCTGGCACCCAAACGAGATGGAGGGTATCTATGTGGTAGAAGTAGCAGCCTGATACGAGGTTTGGGGCCCTCAGCAGAATAAAAGGGTATCTATTGGTGCCTGACCAGAGTAAGAAAGGTGGCTATTTGGAGCGGTGATGGTAATAGGAGATATTTATTTAAGGAGGGTTTTGAACTAATACATATATAAAGGGAGCAAAGTTCCTCATTTCAGAAAAGGGAGCTATAAATATAAAAAGGGAGAAAACTAGCATAATACAGTATTAGACTGGAATTTGAAGTACTGATATAAATACATGGTTTTTAATATACAGGGATACAAAAATAAACATAAGACATAAATATGCATGAATACACACACACACACACACACACACACACACACACACACACACAACCTTATCTCTGCCCACCTAGAGGAACTGGGAACACTTACCTCTAAGGCAAGAACATACCCTAACACCCAGGACTTGATTCTAACTCTTTAAAAAGCAGAATTCCCTGGAAAAAATGGCTTATTTCAGTGAGAGCTCAACTAGTTCAGGGAGCTTAGACATCCTGCTAGAAAATGCTTTTCTATGTTAGAAGACAAAGTGCTTGAACAGGGATATTTTAAGAATGCAGAAGTAAGTCTGAAGGGCTGTTCAGATTGGGAACAATCTGAGACTCAAAATAAATAATGATAAGGGTATAAAACCCAATCAATAAAATGGGGACCCAAGAGTCTACACTGATATACATACATACATACATGAAAGAATAAATGGAGAGCAAAGAAGCCATTTCTTTTTTTTTTTCTTTTGTCTTTCTGTGACAGGGTCTTAGTATGCAGTTCAAGCAGGATTTGAACTCGTGTTGTAGCCCAGGCTGGCCTCAAACTCCCAGTTATCCTCCTACTTCAGCCTCCTGAGTGCTGGGATTACAGGTGCGTGCCACCCTGCCAGGCAAGAAAGCATTTCTTTTTTGGTGGGGGTGGGTGGGTACTGGGAATTGAACCCAGGACCCTGTGCTTGCCAGGCAGGTGCTTGTGCCACTGGGCTATATCTCTGGCTTAAAAAAGCATTTCTTACAATGGAATTCTAACTAACAACAACAACCACCAAAAAAAAAAAAAAAGAGAAAAAAGGTCAGAATCAGAAAATCATTTGGCAATTATCATAGTTACAGTTCATTCAAGAAGTATTACTGGATGTTTAAATTCTTGAATATGTATACAGAGTCTGCCCCAAAAATGTACATACACTTCAGGAAAAGAAAAAATAATATGATGCTTTTTCAACAGATGTGTTATCCTCCTATGGGGAACCCTGGAGGATGTTGTATACTGCAGGAAAACCACTACACTGCCGGCCCTTAGAAAAGAAATTAAAAATGCATGTGGAGCAATGTCAACGACCAAGGTTACCCAAGCAGCAATTCGCTGTACTAATAAATGTCTGGAAGCTACTGGCCACCACTTTGAGCACCTCTTGTAGCTGTAGAGATCAAAGGCAACTTGTATTAATCTCATGGTGTCTCAAAATTAGCATTAAAATTTTTATACAAATTTTTCTTTTTCTGAAGTGTGTAGGCATTTTGTGTGTTTTTAGATTATATATACTCTGTGTATATAATCTAAAGTTTCCTTGTGGGTTTTTGTGGTTTTTGTTTGAACCCCATAATTAGTTTGTATTTTAAATGCTTGGAAAAGTCACAAAATATTATTTTTTTAGTAGTGGTCTCCAGTGCTAATAGTGTAAGATATTAGCTGATAGGTGTTTTACATAAAAGCAAGAAAAATAAGAAAAACCTACATGCTTATGTAAAGGCCAAGCACAAAAAATTTTTTTCCACTGGCAGTTCTCCAAAATCCTTTTTGATTAACTATAATCCTTTCATTTTACATTTAAATCTCACCATTACCTTCTGTCTCTGAGCCTCCTCTGGAATCTATTCTCTTTAGATAAGGAACTGAATTTTATTTTTAAAATTCCTAAAACAACTTGCACCATCTACACTCATCCTACTCTCTCCAGGGCACTAAGATCTTTGCAAAAGAACATATGCCTGTGTCTCTTCCTTGAAACAGGCAAATACTTAAACAAATGACCTATCAACACAATTTCCAAGACACAAGTAAGCAATTCTAATAACAAAGACTTACAGAACAATAAAATAATTCATGTAATTCACTTGAAACAAAAATCTCTAAACACATAATAATCAAATGAAGGTAGATGATGAAAAATGGCACACACATTAGATCTCAGAGTAAAATTAAGAGATGAAAGAATAATTTGAGCACCAGATTAAGAACACAGTAAAATGCTGGGGAGCTGTATATGATTCTAAATTGAAAAATGTTAAATACAGTAATACATATGTGTAAAATATAAATAATAAGGCAGCAATATTCAATAACAATTATATTTGAGTTTTTACAGAAAAGGAATTCAGAATAGCATTTTAAACTTGAAAACTCTTTGTTGGTTAGACAATAAATGATTATTATGCCATCATCTTTATCCTGTTATGTATTACTCAATAAGATCAGCTCCAAAGAGGTTCTGGGTTGTTTTTAACAATCTTGATCATGTGACTAGCAACAGTCTCAGTTGTTTCTAACCATAGCAACACCATGGAATCATTAGCCTCTGAGGCTGCCTTCAGAGACTTGTTTCCATGACAACAGAGGCTATAATATTAACAGTCTCAAGGAACACTGCAGAAAACTGTAAATTGCTATAAAATAATCTGATATATTGTAGGTATTTTAAAAGTACCATTTTAAAACCAGCTTTAAATTGATAACTAAAATGTTTAAACTGACAATATGTTTTATTAGCTTTCTTTATAGTTTTATATATCCACATCTAATTTGAGATTTTAAATAAAGAAACCAGTGTTTAAAGTGTAGAAGATTTTCATAAAAAATGGTTTAAAGTCTCCTTAGGTAGTCATGTACATAACACGTACTGCACATCCACATATACAGCAGGTATCAGACTCCCTAATTTCCCATCATTCAGTAATAAATGTGTATTTATTGAGTGAGTCTACCTTTATTAAATCCCTTTTTGCTTAAAATAGCTGTAATGCTTTTTACTATGTAATATGAATCCTGGCAGGACAAGACAGAAGGGACAATTAGAAGGCTGTGATTGGTGGCTTAGGCAGAATGGTGCCAATGGTAAAGACAGACATGAGTAGTCAAATCAAGACAGATTCT